CGCTCTGATAGTGTACATCATATTCCATACAAAAGTAAGTCATATTTCATGTTTAATTTCTCCACGCGCGCCAGCGCATGCATCGTGGCGCAAGCGGGCGAACCAACTCATGGGGCATCCATGGGAGGATCCACCTTGAGTATCCGAAAGAGGGGGAGTCTAGATGTGCCCCCAAACGAGGCGTCTACCTCCAGGACACAGCCCGGCGGCAAAGCTGGCAGTCCTGCACTCATTGCACACACACGCTCGTTCGTGTAGTTGGTGCACACCACGTCGTCCCCACATCCATCCATCCCCTCTCTTGTTTCTCTCCCCTGGTCTTCTCTTGCCTTACTTTCCGCATGCACGCTCGATCGAGGAGTGGGTGTACCCCACGTTCAACTCTTTGCCTCCCGCGTGTTGGCCGTACCCGGCGACGCCGGGAGCGGGAAAGAGGGGGTTGAAGGGGGGGGTAGGTTTCGAGGTGTTATGACACGTCGGACGCGACTCTGAAAGCTGAGAGAACGCCTGGCCCCAGCCAAATGGGGACTACGGAGTCGAGCACTTAAGAGTGGGGCTAAGCTGGTCCCCAAAGGAAGCGTTAGGGCACCCGTTGTTCTTCAAAGGCAGCAATATTCTTTCAGTTATCTGTGCACCAGGCAAGGGGAGGGGCAGGGCAGAGGGGGAGGGTCTGGGTGGCCGTCACAGGGGCACTTCACGCCGCTTCGGCGGTCGGCGTGGCGTATGCGAGCCAGCCCGTCAGGCTGGCAGCGTTGCGCACTACAAACCTGGGAACCACGCAAACTAAGGGAAAATAGTGCCCGTGCCACCATGCACCTCCCATCCTGCCAGCCTCTGGAGCATCGTGTCGGGTCCCCCTTTTATCTTGCCTCTGGACTCGTCTGGCGCTTCCCCGTCCGCCCATCCAGCCCTCCTTCCCCGCCACCTCGCCTGTATCCACATATGCTTCATTCTTCTAGGGAACACACCAGGGTAGGGGGGAGCCATGAACTAAGTCGCACACGGGCTTTCAACAGAATGCGATGCAACAGACTGAAAGCAAAAATGCCCGGTGCTTATGAGGACACCTGTTCTGCTGTCGCTCACTCACATGTGTCAGTCTCGACTCTCGATTTCACTGCTTTGGGCGTGCCGGCCCATCCGTTATCCTTCCTGCTTCGCCGCCGTCTGGCTTCCCCTTCCCCCTCATCTTGTTTCGTGCTCTCCCTCTCTCTCTTCCCCGTGCTCTCTCTCTCTCTCTCTCTCCCTCTCTCTCTCCCCCGCTTTTGCTTTGTGCCCTTCCTGCCCCCCTCTTTCGCCTGCCCCTCGCTGGTATCCACATCCATCCATCCTTGCCCCGGTGCTTCCTCATCCTTCGTCCCTGGTCACCCGCAGAGTCCGCTTGTGCGGACTGGGAGTGGGCCAGAACCCCATCCGTTAGGGTACGGCACGACGCGTGCCGCCAGCAGGGCTCGCTGTGCTCCTACACCCTCCAATGGGGCACTTCATGATTCAAGCAGGAGCGATCCGAAGCTCGCTGCGGGCCGTCAGGCCCACAAAGGTGGCTGCTCGTTCAATGCCCAACCACCTGGGGACCTTCCACCCCTCAAGAAAGCGTAAAGTCTCAGAGTCCTCCTCCTCCTCCTCCTCCTCCTCCTCCTCCCACTCCTCCTCCTCTTCTTCCTCCTCCTCCTCGTCCTCCTCCTCCTACTTCTCCTCCTCCTACCCCCATTCCACCACACCACACACACACACACACACACACACACACACACACAACACACACACACACACACACACACAAACAAAACACAAACAACACACTAACAAACACACACCACAAACAACACACACACGCACGCACACACAACACACACCACACACACACACCACCTCTTCTAGCCTCTCCTCCCCCATTCCTCATCCCTCCATCCTTCCCTCCCTCCCCTCCTCTCCCCTCCTCCTCCTTCTCCTTCCCCTCTTCCTCCTCCTCCTCCTCCTCCTCCTCTTCCTCCTCCTCCTCCTCATCAGTATCATCAGTATCATCAGCATCATCCTCATCACCATCATCATCGTCATCATCATCATCACCAACATCATCAGCATCATCATCATCATCCGCATCATCATCATGATCATCATCATCAGCATCATGATCATCAACACCATGATCGTCATCATCACCATCATCAGCATCATGATCATCAGCATCATCATCGCCATTATCATCATCATCAGCAGCACCATCATCAGCAGCATCATCATCAGCATCCTCATTAGGTCCTTCATCAAAATCATCAGCATCACCATCAGCATCAGCATCATCAGCATCAGCGTCAACAGCATCATCGTCCTCACCATTCGCATCATCATCATCATCATCATTGTCATCGTCATCATCAGCATCATCATCGATTCCTTCATCAACATCATCCGCATCACCATCAGCATCAGCATCAGCATCATCAGCATCAGCGTCAACAGCATCATCATCAGCTCCAGCATACTTATCATCATCAGCATCATTATCATCACCATCTGCATCATCATCAACATCATCATCATCCTCATCATAATACTCATCATCACCATCATCATCGTCATCATCATCTGTCTCCTCCAATCCTGTTCTTTATAATTTACGCCTCCCTGTCTAAACACGAAGCTGGTCCAAAGGGGGGGCCGAAAGTTTCACCTGCGACTTCCGTCCCACTTATGACCCTGAAGTCTACAAATTGGCAACGCGGATGGAGGGCGGGTGGTTTTCAAATGTGGTTATCGCCTTAGCGCCGCGCACATTCGTCTGACAAAACCCACCAGCCATCTGGGCGTAGGTAGTCCAGGGAGGCTCCTCTTCCAACCCCCTTTTAATCCTTCGGGGAGGAGCCTATCCTTACTTCATGACATAAAACACCCCTAAATCCCCACCTAGCCGGCCGATAGCAACCCCGCTGAACAAAACAAAAAATCTCGCTGGCATGTCGTCGAGGTGCGAAAAGTGAAGCAGGAGTGGCGCGGCGCACATCGCCCGCGGACGCCTGGCCAACCCTACGCTGGACCCCCCGTCCTACTTGTCAAAAAACACCGCATCGTCGACGTTTTTCTTGCCAACCTGTACTTTCTCCTCGTCGGCGCTGCGAATCGCGCAACGGGAATGGGACGCGGCGCGCATCGCGCGGGGACGCCTGCTCGTCAACATGGACGTTCTTGTCGTCGACGCTGCGGCCCGTCGGCTTGAGGAGCTGAGCGGGCGGCAAATCACAATGCCTCAAGCAAGTGCGGTTCGCCGCCGGCGCGCCCGTGGTCGTGCCCACGTAAGAAAGACCTTTGGCAACAATGACCTTTGGCAACAGAGACGCGGCGCACTTCGCGCGCTGGACATGTCGTCGCCGACGATGCAACATGAGAGGCCGGAGCGGGGAGCGGAGTACATCGCGCGCGGTCTTCTTTCTCGTCGACGTTTGCTCAACACGCGGCAGGAATAGGACGCAGCTCACGTCGCGCGCTGAACGTCTAGCCGCCAACGATATAAGATGAGCGACAGGCGCCGGACGCGACGCACTTGCTTCTTATGTTGTGGGAGGGCGGGTGGGTGTGGACGGAGCCCTCAAACTCGCTCGAGCTCGCCAACTTGACCCCTCCCCCTACGTGATGCTTCGGAAACATTGCCATTTTGTTTGTTTATCCTTTTCGGTCTATGGATTGATACACATACGTGGATCGTTCTAATTGCGCCATGCCCCCTTTTTCCTCGCCCGTTCCCCCGTGGCATCGGCCTCGTGGCTGGGACAAAAACTAGGAGTAATTCGAGCGTTGCCAACTCACTCCTGGCATTGGCATTCCTATCCTTCTGAGATTCGCCTGTCCTGTTATGTTCTCTCGTTATTCCTTGCTTGCTCCTCGACGTCCCCTCCTGATGTTTCTCCTCTTCTTGCCTCGCTATCTTCTTATTTCCTACACTTCCCCATCTTGTTCAATCACTTCCTTCGAACACTGCCATCCTCCAGGGGGCGTCGGCGGAACTTGCGCCGGCGGAGGTAATCATTGCTTATCGCCCCCCGACGGGGACGCAAGCTTCTGCGGCAAACTTTGGGATTCCAGCCCTCTGGGCATTGGTATTCCTATCCTTCTGATATTCGCCTGTCCTGTTTGTTCTCTCCTTCTTGCCTTCTTGTCGCACGACGCCCCCTCCTGACTCTCCTCCTCTCCTTGCTTCATTTTCTTCTTAGTTCTTGCACTTCTACCTTGTTCCTCCTATGCGTCTCCTCTTCTGTAGCCGATTGGGCCCCGGGTAACTCGACGCGTCGCCGACGCGGCTGCCATGCCCAGCCTGGGGCGGCAAGCTCAATGGAAAAGCTGCACGGGCGCAGCGAGCTGAGAAGCTTTCTCGCGAGGTTGGTGCCGAACCCTATGGTCGCGGCCTTCCTCGCCCGCCCCGAGCGTCCGACACGCCGCGGCGGCGAGGCGGCGCGCGAGCTCAACTCCGCCGACCTGGAGCTCCGCACGCTTCTCCACGACTCCAGAAAGAAGATGCCCCTGGCTTCGGCGCCCCAGAGAATCCCGCTCACCAGGGTTCGGTTCAACGGCGAGGGCTTGCTCCAGAAACCGCCGGCAACCTACGAGGAAAGCTCGGGGCAAGCCTTCGGGGAGGGCATGGGACGCACATGGACATACTAATACTATATCCTCCTTGGAGGCGCGCGTCCGACCCAAACATATAGTATACCCATCTTGTAGTATATCGTTTCCCGAGCGGTGTGGCCAGAAAGCGCCCGCCACGACGCATATACTATAAAATTTCTCGGTGCGCGCGTCGCCCTTGGGGGGGCGACGCACATATAGTATAAGTATGTTGGGGTGTTGCCGAGGGCAGGTGCTTCGACGAGAGTGCTTGCGCCTCGGTGGTAAAGGACACCACCATCAGGCAGGCCTGCGCAGGGCACCAGGAGGACTTGCTGAAAAACGCGGAGCACGCGCGGCGGGCGGGCCAGAGAGGAGGAGGAGGAGGAGGAGGAGGAGGAGGAAGAGGAGGAGGAGGAGGAGGAGGAGGCGCACAAGCAGAAGCGGGCGATGGCCAAGCACGGATCCGAACTCCTGCGCAAGAGCCGCCTCACGACGGCTGCGCGGCAGTTGGAGAAGGGGCAGCCGCTCGGCGACGCGCTCGAGAAGACGCTACTCGCGCACACCGAGTGGCACAGGATGCTGATGTCTCGCGACTTGGCCGCTGTCCGCCCGAAGGCGGCCTGCGGGTTCATCCTGGCGGAGAACGACTTTGCGGGGGCGGGCGCAGAGGCGGTCCTCTGGGAGGAGGAAAACAATACAGGTCGGATCTCTTGGCGTCCCTCCCCCTCTTCGTCCACGAGAGAAGTCAAAGTGGGATGGGGGGGCGGGGGAGGGCCGAGAGAGCCGACCTGCGTTGCCCTTCTTCTCCCATACTCCGCCAGTGCACCACGCGCGACCTCGACGACTCGAAGCGCCGCCGAGCCCTGCTCCAGCTGGCGAAGCCGAGACTGGTTGACCCGAGCTCGTGGGCGGGGGGGCTCGCGATCTCACGCCTCGAGGACCTCTGCTGCGAACTCAGGCGGTGGGAGAACATGGCTGACAAGGAGAAGGGCCGCCTTAGGACTACCGGCGACAGGGCGGCGAGGGCGCAGCTAAGGCGCCAGGACAGGCTGCTCTCTCTCCCCGACGGGCCTGAGTCCCAGAGCATCACGCGGGAGGGGGTCAACGACGCGCCCGGCCGCCAGAACGCGAAGACCTCCACGGTCTTCGGCTACAAACGCCCGCGCATGATCACGGGGCGCGTCGACCCGATCGCCGTGGACGTCGAGTTGCTCGACGCGGCCGTCGAGCTCGATGAGGCTTTCCTGATGATCTCCAACGCGAACAACGGGGCTGTCCTCGTTGACTGCATCGCAGCGAAGCTGTCCTCGACGGCGCAGATGGCGACGGGGCCCCAATGGGGTTGGGCATCGGAATGGGCAGGGCGGGCGGGGTAGCAGGCATTGTTCGTTGGCCTCGCTTGCGTACCCCCACAGGTGAAGCGCCAAATTCGCGAGGAGCTGTCGATGTCTAAATGCCGGGGCATCACGTGGGAGGGGATCAACGACGCGCCCAGCCGCCAGAACGTGAAGATCTCCACGGTCTTTGGCTACAAGCGCCCGCGCGCGCTCCAGCGAGGGCAAGCTGGGGCGAGACGACCCCGCTGCTACCAGTTAATCGGTCGCGAAAGAATTGGCACCCCCCTCCCCCCCCCCTCCGCAGCGCAAGACAGGACGGGGAGCGGGGCGAGAGCAGCGCCGTTGTCTGCCCCCGCCGTGCCACGGCGAGATAGGGCTCGAGAAATCCCCGCGCGCGCGGCCCGCTGCCCCGACCCAGACCCGGCGCGGAAATCGCCAGCATCCGAGCCTCGAGGTCCAGCTGGTTCCAAACCTTGGGGATTTGAGTATTTGGGTGTTCGGGTATCCGGATATTCAAGTATTCGGGTATTCGGGTATTCGGGTATTAATACGGGTGTTCGGGCATTCGGACATTCAATATCCGGGTACTCGGGTATTCGGGTATTCGGAGCCGGGGGGCGGGTATTCAGGTATTCGGGTATTCTGGTATTCGGCTATTCGGGTATTTGAGTATTCAGGCATCTGGTATTGGGGTATTCGGCGATTCGGGTATTCGGGCATTCGGAGCGGGACGGGGGGGGGCGGGAATTCGGGTATTCGGGTATTCGGGTATTCGGGTATTCGGGTATTCGGGTATTCGGGTGTTCGGGTATTCGGGTATTCGGGTATTCGGGTCTTCGGGCATTCGGGTATTCGGGTATTCGGGTATTCGGGCATTCGGGTATTCAGGTATTCGGGTATTCGGGTACTCGGGCATTCGGGTACTCGGGTATTCGGTCTTCGGGAATGTCGCCCCCCGCACCGAATACCCGAATACCCGAATGGCCGAGTACCCGCCCTCCCCCCCCGCTCCGAATACCCGAATACCAAAATACCCGAATCCGAATGCCCGAGTACCCCCCCCCCCGCTCCGAATACCCGAATACCAAAATACCCGAATACCCGAATACCCGAATACCCGGATACCCGAATACCCGAATACCCGAATTCCCGAATACCCGAATACCCGAATGCCTGAATGCCCGACTACCCGAATACCCGAATACCCGAGAACCTGAATACCCGAATACCCGAATACCCGAATACCCCAATACCCGAATGCCCGAATTATCAAGCCATCGCCATGTCGCAGATGGTGCCGCCCGTGCCGCCGCGGGCAGAGTGGAGTCGCGTCGTGGCGGCTGCAGCCCGAACGACGAATGCATCCGTGACTGGCTGCCTTGACGAGTTCCTTGCCCAGCGCGCGAACGCCCCGAAGACCAGCCTCCTGTGCGCAGATTACAAGGAGCTGCCCGACCATCACAATTGGTCGCAATTGCTGCAGGAGCAGCTCGCGCATTTGTTTTTCCAATGGGACCAGTGCCCGATCATGTACTGCAGCCGCGATGACGACTGGTGGGCATGGGATCAGACTTGGCGCGTTGTCAAGCGATCCTTGACGAGAGCCAAGGCGATCTTCCAGGCGAGGCCCCTCCCCGTGCTCCAGGAGGTTGCCGGGCGCTGTCGCGCAGAGAAATGTTTCGGGGAGGGCGAGGGCGGCAACCCCCACCCCGGCAGTTTCTGGACAAGACGGCGGCGGCGCTGGAGCGCCAGCAGGGCGTGGCGAAGATCATCCGAGAATCTGCCGTGCTGTTCGACGGGGGGGCCGCGTTCGACCTGGACCCGTTCTGCCTTCAGCTCAACAAGTGCGCGGTGGACCTCCGCTCGAATTCCATACGCCCAGGCCGCCCGACAGACGCGACTTCCCCGCGCGACCCGATTTGCGCGCCCCAGAGGCAGGCGGCCGCGAAACGGAGAGGCGGGCGATGCGCAGATGGGTTTGGGGTAAACAAACGCAGCGTTTCCCCGTATGAACCGCCCAGACCTTTGAAAAAGCCTGGTTTTCCACGCGCTCCATAAACCCACGCCTTTGTCGGCGCGCCCGCGGACGTCGTCGGCGCGAATGCGCGACTGAGAAGTGCGTGAAACGGTCGGGTTGTTCGCTGGTTCGGGCTGTTCAAACAAGGAATCGCTGCGTGAAACCCAGAAGGCGAACGCGCACTTCAGGGCATGGAGACAGGGTAGCCATGTTCGTCGACAGGTGGCTGCAGAGCTCAATCAATGTAGAATCCGAGTCGGCCAACGACCGCCAGAGGTCACGGTCTATCTTGCGGTCGCTGTACAAACGCGAGGGCGACCATCATCCCGACGATTGCGCCGAGGATCTCGGAGACGCGGACGCTGATAATTTCCCACATATGATGCATCTGCAGGCGCGGCTTCTCGAAGGCACGCCGCTCTGCAAGCGCGTGCTGCCGTGGTCTGGGCGGGGCCGCAATGACAACAAGGGCATCTGCGACAGGCTGTCTGGGGAGAGCACTACGTTCCTGCCCGAGCCACAGTCCGCACTGCGGACAAGCGTTCCGAACACGAACACAACGCGGAGGACGCTTTTCGTCGCGGGTTTCGCGTAGCCTTCGGCCACGAGGCGCCTTCCTCGGCTTGGAACAACGCTGTCTTCAAGAGCAGGAACTCGACCGACCCCATCACCGCCCGCGCGTGCAACTCGGGCGATGCCGAGAAGATGAAGCCCATGCGCACTTACAATTTCGCACGCAACGACATTCCGTCACGGGGGCAGGTTCCGAAGGGCTCGGAGCGCGACCGCTTGCTGCCGACGCACATGCCGAACAAGTTTCGCGACTCCGTCGACGACCCCACGCCCCCGCGCCCCTTACTCAAGGACCACGGGCTCGAGGCGGAGATTGGCAGGCCCGAGTTCGCGATCTGCCACTTGCTCAACTTCCTTGCCAACAGGTCATCAGCGTCTTCGAGCGAGGGCCTCTCGCTGCACAGGCTGGCAGCGACCGGGGCGAAGACCACGGCGCATTTGCTCGAGGCGTGGATGGCCGAGTGGGGCAGGGTGAACGCGAGGTGAACGCGGAGTCATTCGCAATCGTCCAGGACATCCACGCTCGCCTCTACTCGTCTAGGACCCGCACCCTTCTCCAGTGCCAGGTGGAGCAGACTAGGTGCGAACTGCCACTGGAGGCCCCGAAGACGAAACGGTGGGCTACCCTCCTGGGCCACGTCCGCGCGCCAGGTCGCCCCGGGGCCAATCTCCTCCAGATCGGGGCCGCGAAGTCACGCAAGCAGAGAATGCAGGCGCGCGTGGCCGCGCCCCCCTTCGACGCGTCGCTGCACGACCAGCTGTTCGCGGACGCTGCCACGTTCGGCGACCTCGCGGGACACGCGCACAACGTCTCCCACGACGCTTGCGCCCCCGCCGAGGACGCGCTCGCCAAGCCCGCCGAAGCCGAAGTGCCGAGCCGATGCTGCCGCTACACTGTCTGCGAGGCAGCCAACTTGACCGCGCTGCGCGCCCGGCGCGACGCGGGGGTTGCCGTCGCGGGCGAGCGGCGCCAGGAGGGGCCGTCTGCGCGCGTGGATCTCCTGGACCAAGCGGGCAAGGCCAGCGCCATGAAAGACGGCTTCCTCCGCCCGACCTCCGTGCCAGAGTGCCCAGACAGCCGTGTCCTTCGCCGCGAGTACTACCAGCTCAACAAGATCGGCCGCGCGTACGAGTCAGGCCCAGGGCTTCATCAGTCCTGCGCCAGGGAGACGCGAATCGTGGCGTTCAACGGCCTGGCGGTGGGTGAGTTCGACATGATCGCGGCGTTCTACCAGATATTCCTGGAGGCGCTGCGCCCGCACGTTCCAGATGGCGCCGTTGAGCGCGACTTCGGGATCGCAAGATGCACGCGGGCAAGTCCAAAGAGTGGCGCACGTCGACGTGTCCGAGGCCAAAGAGATCTTCTCGCGGCTGCCGCTCAAGGGCGGCATTCAGCCCGATGCATCCTGGGAGAGCGATCGCCCCGACGACATTTTGCCGTGCCTGATGGAGTTGAGGGGCGCTTTCAGGCGCGGCCAGGAGATCCTGGCGGCCCAGTGTGACGAGCACAAGAAGGCGAGGTTCTGAAATTCGACCTCGACGCTGGCCTGCCCGACCGCGCGCGGCTTCGGGGTTCGCTGCTGTCCCGCGGAGAGCCCAGCCGCGGCGGCGGGGGCCGCCAGTGGCGCGGGGACTTCCAGGAACCGCAAGGTTGCATCCATGGAGAAGGTGTTGCTGAAGGCGCATCCAGGGTCGTCGGCACTGGCGCTGCACCTGCAGACGATGGCAGACAAAATCCTCGAGAGCATGGCCGTTGCTACCAAAGGGCTGAACGCGTGCGTCTTGAGTCTGGTGTTCGGCGGCATGTACGTGGCCATGCCTTCCATGTCCGACATCGACGGGGTGTTCCATGCGGTGGCCGACCACGTCTGGAGGACACACAGTGTCCGCATTGTCTTGAAAGCAGCAGGCGGCGAGAAGATCAAGGCATTCTCGGCGAGGCGCAAAACCGCCCGAGCGATGAGGACGCGGCTGAAGCAGCCCAGAAGAGGATGAAAGTGTGCCACCTGGCCCAGGAGATGGAGAAGTTGCTGGGTATCGATTCGGCTGCGGCGGCCAGCGGCGCGCCCGAGGTCGGCGGGCTGCCTTGCACGCAGGAAGAGCAGCGCGGTCGCGAACCGTGCGGCGGGCTGATCGGCGCTGCGGCGGCCAGCGGGGCGCCAGAGGGCGGCGGGCAGCTAGTCGCACAGGAGGAGCAACGCGACATCGAGCCTGACACGCAGGAGCCGTCGATGGCGGGGCGCTGGAATGAGGGCGACGTGGCCGTCTCCAGTGCGGCCCACGGCGACGCATGATCTGGTTGAACGGCCCAGGCACGATGAGGAACCTGTTGCCTGGTCGTCAAGGTCGCGGCCATGAGGCAAGCCGCCGCTTTGGGGTTATTCCCTGCACGCGCCTGCAGGGTTTGCGCGGTGCGCTCGGGGGCAGGATTTGTTCGGGATTTGTTGTGCAGTCGCTTCAGTGCTAGCCGTGCAGCTCGCGGCAGCATTGCCACCTAGTTGCTAGCTTCTTGGCCTGGCCTGCAAGTGCGCACGACGCGTTGGGGGGCAGGGCTCGCTCGGGATGCTTCGCTGCGTTTGCAGACTCGATAGCAAAAAAACCTCCGCCCCGTCCCCGCCATCTTGCCCTGCAGCTTGCAATTCGCCTTGAGGCGTTTGACAGAGTTTTCTTTCAGTTGTTCCCGCTGAGCCGCCTGAACCATTGAACAACCATAGGTTTTACCATGTATTTAATGTTCGGGTGCCGTTGGCGGCGCTTTCGTGAGTGCCGACAAAGCGTCGAAAGCGCCGCAACAGCATAGTAATTGTTCTCATCGTTGGCATTCGGGCAGGATCCATCCCCCAGCTGCAAACCAACAGCATAGTAACAGATAAGTTTGCTTACCCTCCCCCTACCCCCTCCCCCCTTGAGCTGGATGGGGGGGGCGGCGAGGCGTTGGAGCGTCTAAGATGGCCCAAGACGGCTCCAAGAGGGCCTCAGGCAGCCCGAGATGACCTCCAAAGATGGCTCAAGATAGCCCAGGATGGCTCAATGTGGCTCCCAAGATGCTCCAAGAGGCCCCAAGGCCACCCCAAGACGGCTCCAAGTTACCAAAGAGCTCCCCAAGGAAGCCCCGAATAAACCAAAATCCTTCCAACACCGAAGGAAACCAAAATCCTTCCAACACCGAAGGAAAAACAATGTGCTTTGCTTTCTCGCCTTTTCGATTCCGATAGCCATCCGAGGCCTCAAGATGGCTCCCAGATGGCCTGAGAGGGCCCCAATAGAGAGGCCCAAGAGAGCCCCAACACGGCCCCAAGGGCGCCCAAGAGCGATCCAGGAGCACTTCAGGAGCGCCCTAAGAAGCGATGTTGGTGGCTCCTGAGGGGCAACGCTAATTGCGGCACTCCCCTTCTTTGATCGATCTCCTCCAAGATGTCCCCAAGAGCGCCCCTAAGGCTCCAAAGAGCACCTCCAAGAGGCCCCCAAAACACCCCCAAGAGACCCCAAGAGGCTTCCCAAGACACCCAAAATGCTCCAAGAGGCCCCCGGGACCGCCAAGAGGCCCCCAAGACGGTCCAAGGGACCTCCAAAAAGCTTCCGAGAGACATCCGAGAAGACTCTGAGAGGCAACTCGCCTGGGCATCGTTTCTGGACGGCCTGGTGGGGATTCGCGAAGATTTCACGGATTGAGGGCGGGTCTTTTTCAAAATGTGGCTCTCGCCTGGGTGCCGGGCACTTGCGTTTAAAAAAAGTCGCCAGAGATTCACGGATTGAGGGCGGGTACGTTTCAAAATGTGACTCTCGCCTGAAAAATGAAAGCATTTCACGGGTTGAGGGCGGGTCGGATTCAAAATGTGGCTATCACCTTAGCGCCGCGCAGATTTGTTTCAAAATGTGGCTCCCCCCTCAGTGCCGCGCACATTCGTTTTGAAACATTGCAAGAGTTTCGCGGATCTCCAGGATCTCCATGGCTTACGTACCAGAAGTAATGTTTTGGAGTGACTCAGGATTGCCAGGGCGCAACAGTGATTCGCGGTTTTGAAGTCGCAGGAATGGCGTTCTGGCACCACTCAGGATCGTCAAGACTCCACAATCAGGTTGACTTGTGGCGTTGAAGTCCCGAGAATCGTGTTCTGGCACGCTTCAGGATACTCAAACGGTTGTCTCCCACCAGCACTTCCCTCAGTGAAAATGGATCGTTGTAGGAGCCTAGGAACAGGGAGCTTGGAGAGAGGGGGTGCTCCAACATCGTTGATGCGTCTTGGGTTCACACTAGTCCTTCTCCACCTCCTCCTCCTCCTCCTCCTCCTCCTCCTCCTTCTCCTCACCCTTCTCTATCCCCTCCCCACTCCCTCTCCCTCCTCCTCCTCCTCCTCCTCCTCCGCCTCCTCCCCCTCCTGCTACTCCTCCTCCTCCTCCTCCGCCTTCCCTCCGCGGGGCTGCTGCCGCTGCACCCGGCACTCCTACCCCCCCCTTCGCCCGAAAAGCTCTCGAAGAGCTGCCCACTCGAACACACATCCTCCTCCGCAACCCGACGGCAGAGCGAGAGAGCGCCAGGCACCGCCCCAAGATCCCAGCAGAGGCCTCCCAGATGAGGTCCGAGTACACCCTGCGAAATGCTTAAGAAATCATGGGTTAAGAAATTCATAGTCTCAGAACTTGAACAAAAACCCAGAATTTCTATTGAAATCTTAAGATTTACATTGAAACGTTAAGAATAATCGAGACTCTGGCCGAAAACTTAAGTTTTCTTAAGCATCGCCTAAGGTGTAGATGGGATCGGAGGACCTCGCCGCATCGCGATGTATCGGCGATGCGCCCGCAGTGCGTCGTCGACGTCGGCGGTGCATCGGCGACGTCGGCGTGAAGCAAATCGGGCTCCACCTCGAGCGATGCATCGCCGATGCAGCGGCGATGCGGCGCGACCCTCCGACCCCCGCCTGCTCCGACCCCACCTGTGGGAGGCCTGCTCCCCTCGGAGACCGGCGTCATCCTCCGGTGGCAGGGCGTGCGTCCCGGTCGAGTCTCCCCCCCCCCAAACCGGCCCTCGGGGACGGCGGGAGGGAGGAGAGGTGGGGGGGGCAACGATGAGGGGGGGGGGACTGTGAGGGGGCCCTGGGACACACAAATAAATAGACACAAATAACAGGATGTCCAATCTTTTCCTGTATGTTCTAGGTTTTTGTCTTCCCCCCCACTTCCCATATTTTCCCGTAGATTCTCGGGAATCGACGATTAATTGTGTCTGTGTGTTTCTTTCCATCCTGAGACTGGCACGGCGGGGAGAAACATCGAACAGATCGGCGATGCGTACCCGATGGCTCGTCGAGAGGGCCCCCGACAGCAAACCCGCACGCTCCTGGGCGGGGTGGGCTATCGGGCCCCTCCCGACGATGAACGGACTAATGCGGGTCGATGCATCCCCCCTGATCCGATCCCCCCTGACTGGGGAAACCCAAAAGTACCGATACCGCTGCTCCCCGGACCTCTCCCGGGGTGTATTCTGGCAAGAACTTCAGACCAAAATCAGCCGTGACAACGGGGGCCTCCCAGGAGGCCCACAAAAAGGGAAACGAGGGAAGAGTAGCGGTATCGGTACGAGCACCTTCCCCGCTTCCTGCTCATTCTCCTCCTCCTCCTCCTCCTCCTCCTCATCCTCCACCTCCTCCTCCTCCTCTCCTCCTTCCTCCTTCCTCCTTCCTCTTCCTCCTTCCTCCTTCCTCCTTCCTCCTTCCTCCTTTCTCCTTCCTCCTTCCTCCTTCCTTCTTCCTCTTTCCTCCTTCCTCTATCCTTCTTCCTACTTCCTCCTGCTGCTTCTCCTCCTCCTCCACCTCCTCCTCCTCCTCCTGCTCCTCATGATCCTCCTCCTCCTCCCCATCATCATCATCATCATCAGCATCAGCAGCATCATCATCACCATCATCAGCATCATCATCATCAGCAGCATCAGCATCAGCATCAGCATCAGCGTCATCATCAGCATCATCATCACCAGCATCATCAGCATCATCATAGTCATCAGCATCAGCAGCAGCATCATCAGCAGCAGCAACATCATCATCATCATCATCATCATCATCATCATCATCAGCATCATCATCTTCAGCATCAGCATCAGCATCAGCATCATCATCATCCATCCATCCATCCATCCATCCATTCATCCATTATGTTTCCTTATAGATAACTTCTCCCTGCCGCAGCACGAGGCCGGTTTTTAGGGCGGGCTGGGCGTTTTGCCTGAGACTTCCTCACCATATATAACCCTGAAGCTTAAAAGTGGCAACAGTTTCACAGTTGGAGAGCGGGTCGTAGTCCGAATGTGGCTCTCGCCTTAGCGCCGCGTACATTCGTTTTACACATTCGCAAGAGTTTCACATATTGAGGGCGGGTCGTTTTCAAACTGCGACTCTCGCCTTAGCGCCGCGCACACTCGTTCAACAGATTTGCAAAAATTTCACGCATTGAGGGCGGGTGGCTTTCAAAATGTGGCTCTCGCCTTCGCGCCGGGCACATTTGGTTTAAAACATACAAGCATTTCACGAATTGAGGGCGGGGAGGGTTCAAAATGTCGCTCTCGCCTGAGCGCCGCGCATACTTCCTTTAAAAAGTTGCAAGAGCTTCACGGATTGAGGGCGGGTCGTTTCCAAAATGCGGATCTCGCTGAAGCGCCGTGCACACTCGTTTCAACAAATTGCGAGAGCTTGAGGGCGGTTCCTTTTCAAAACGTGGCTCTCGCCTTTGCGCCGCGCGCAGTCCATTTGGAAATTGCAAGAGTTTCACGGGTTACCATGGTCAAAATACAACAAGCGGCGTTCTGGAAAGTTTCAGACCTATGAGGGTGCAAGTGTTACATTGGTTCGCGGCGTTGAAGTCCCAGGGATGGCTGTCTGGTACGATTCAGGATCGCCAAGACGCCACAGTCAGGTTGATCCGTGGCGCTGGAGTCCCGAGCATAATGTTTTGGCATGCTTCAGGGTCTTCAAACGGTTGTCTTCCAACGAGGCAGTTCCCTCAGTGAACATGAGCTGTTGTAGGGTCCTATGAAGACACCTTGGAGGGAGGGTTTACTCCAACATCGTTGATGACGCTTGGGTTTACACTGCTCCTCTTCCTCCTCCTCCTCCTCCTCCGCCTCCTCCTCCTCCTCCTCCTGTTCCTCCTCCTCCTCCTCCTCCTCCGCCTCCTCCTCCGCCTCCTCCTGCCCGCCTCCCAGCTGATCGCCCACCCGAAGGGTACCCTGTCCTCCTCTTGACGAACGTTGCCCCCGAAGGGGAAGGGAGGAGGGGCAGGGGGGGGGGGAGGGCGACGCCGCGGCGCCGCGGGCCCGCGGGGGCCCCGCGCCGCGCCTCGCACGGGGGGCGCCTCTCGCCGCCCCCCCTTTTCGCCTCGAGCGCGCGCCGCGAGCGGCACGACCGTAGGGCCCGCGGCAGCGTCTGCCGGGGGGGGACGAGCGGGCAAGATAGCAAAGGGCAGGGTCAGGTCTGGCATGTCCTCCTGCAGGCGGGCCCCAAGCAAAGATTCAGGAATGGTCCAAAAAGAGCACGGCGGATCGTCCCCAGACCAGTTGTTTGACTCTGCTTGAAGGTTCCTCCTGTAGAGGGACGTGCCCGATTTACGGGTATAGGGCACAGCATCGGCTCACGCAGCCGGTTCCCCTGGCGCCGGGAGGCGCCTCGGCACGGAGGAGTGAGCCCGGCGGCGGGGCCGAAGCCAGCGGCAAGCAGCAACTTTCGTACACAACCCCCCCCCCCCTTAGGAGGCAACTACTGGGAGGTTTTCGTCGGAAGAATTAAGGCACATTAAGCCCCATTGGGGGGCCGTTACGCAAGAGTGGGCCTCGGACTAAGCAAGATTAAGCCGGATTAAGCGGGATTGAGCGGGCGTAAGCCGGATTAAGCGGGATTAAGCTGGATTAAGCCGGATTTTGGACCAGGGCGAAAACAGAATTTGACCTCCCAGGAGTTGCATCCGCCTATCCTGCCCCCTCGTCCGGGCCGAGTCTGGGCGACAGGTGCGGCCGCAGGGAGCCGGAGGGCTCCGCCGCTCCCTGCCAGGGCCATCCTGGGCCCTGCAGCTGGCCGGGGGCCACGAGCGGCGCACGTGTCCATGCCCACGCCCGCACGGCCTGGCTCTGGCCATCGCTCGGACGTCCGTTCCCTGTGTTTCTTGTTTCGGTTTCGTGTGTGGTTTTTTTTTCGCCAAATGATCAAGGACTTTCCTCGATGGTCCTCGCCGAAGGAAACATGCAAACGTCCGAGCGATGCCAAGGGCTCTTCTAGGACGCGATCCCGAGGATGCGCGGCCGCGTGGATGCGCTCCGCGCGGGGCATCCGCGGAGAAGAAACGCCCCGTATCCATGACTTCGCGCCCCGGGCGTCCGGCCCGCGAGGCCGTGGGCTTGGACATGCTCCCCGCCCACGACGCTCTACGCAGCCCCGCTGTGCAGGCACCCTTTTTAAACCGTTTTGAAACGCGCGCAGATCGGCTCGCGGCCGAGCCACGGCAGCGGATGCGCACATATATACCCCCGCATGTGTAGCACAGTGGCGAGTTGCGGAAACCCTGAGCCCAAAAAGCTGCCATCTCTTGGAGGGCACCTTTCTGCTTCCGCCGCCTTCCGCCAGAGGCGGCCTCGTTTTACTTCCGCCGCCGCCCACCGACCTTCCGCCGCCTTCCGCCGCGGAAGAGATAACAACTCCTTCGATCCTCGAAAGCAAGGCCCTGTTTGGAACGCCCCATACAGGTACCTGCTATCCGAGCTTTCTGGGCCATTCCAGGGCATTTCTTGACGGCGCCATCGCGAATCATGACACGACCAGGGGGCGGGGCGGTAGGGCCAGTCAGGGGCGATATGACGAAGCGTGTGCAAACAAGCTCCTCTCTCCACCTCAATCCTCGACCTCCTCCTCCTCCTCCACCTCCTCCTCCTCTACCTCCTCTTCCTCCTCTACCTCCTCCTCCTCTTCCTCCTCCTCCTCCTCACCCACCATCCCCAGTGGAGGGAAGCATCTCTGCCTCCACTACCACCCTTTATCCTCACCCCAGGCCCGGTCTGAGGCGCGTCTTCCTGCAGCCCCCGTCTTCCCCACTGAAGAAGGGGCCGACCCCTCTCCGTGCCCTCTGGTCTCTGCCAGGTCTATGGGACACTCAGAGACATACTAGTACTATGTGTCCTCCTTGGAGGCGCGCGTCCGACCCGAACATATAGTATATCCATCTTGTAGTATATCGTTTCCCGAGCGGCGTGGCCAAAAAGCGCCCGCCACGACGCATGTACTATAAGAGTTCTCGGTCCGCACGTCGCACCCCAGTACGTTGAGGTGAGGCCGATGTTTGCGTCCAGGATGAGCCAAGAGGGCTCCAGGATGGCCTCGGGTAGCCCAAGACAGCCTTCAACATGGCGCAAGATACCAAGATCACTCCAGGTAATCCCCCAACATACCACCCAGAATTTCCAAACTGCCCAAAGAAGGGCTCAAGCAGCCACGAATAGTCCGAATGGTACCCCCGAGATGCCCGAACGCTGCAGACAGCCAGTGTAGTTCGGCGTGCTTTTCTCTCTCGCCGTTTCGCTTTCAAGGTGCTTACAAGGCCTGGTATGACTCCAACATGACTCAATGCACTCCCAAGAATGGCTCAGAAGGACTCCAAGATGGCCCCGAAGGCCCCCAAGAGCGATCCGAAACCGCCTTGAGAGGGCTCTCAGAGGCGATGGTTCGTGCTTCAAGATGGACACTCCGAATTCACACCACCCAATGTTTCATCAATGTCCTTCGTAATGACCCGAAGAGAGCTCGAAAGGTCCGAAAGAGAGGGCTCGTACGCAGAGGCGTTGCATGATACGCAGTCTTGTTTGTATTATATGCGAGCCTCTTCAGCCTGAGCAGGCCCATTTCGTCGTCGTCGGCGGCATCGATCCTTCACTTCCCCATCCTCCTCATTCTCCCCCTCCTTCTCCCCCTCCTTCTCCTCCTTCTCCTCCTCCTCCTCCTCCTCCTGCTCCCCCCCCTTGCCTCTTGCCTAACCTAAGGGCTGAGTCCGCATCGCGGAGCCCCACTTAAAGTTCAGAGGGGGGCCCATCCTCAACTTTTCCAGGTGCCCAGCCGGGGCTCCTTCCCCCACCCGAGCACCCACGACAGGCCCCCCCCCCCCAAAAAAAACAGACTTACAAAATGGCCCTCGGCTGGGCATGGGCTCCCCGCTGTTCGGGCTCTGGCCAGGCCTTGGAATCCCTCGGCAGCTTCCCAGCCTCAAGCAGGTCAAGGTTCCTCCTGCCCGATCCTCCTCCTCCCCCTCCCCCTCCTCCTCCTCCTTCTTCTCCTCTTCCTCCTCCTCCTTCTCATCCCCTCGCCACCTCCTCGATTTCTGTCCTCCTCCTCCTCCTCCGACGGCGACGACGACGACGACGACGCCAGGCTTAGCAGTTCCTCTCCTGGATATGCTCAGCCTGATTCCGAACTCCGGCTTGACGGTTCAATGCGTTTCCTCATCATTCTCCCTCAGCTCAATGATCAGCTCCCCCTCTTCATTTTCGAATGCATACTCCCATGCCTCCCTGATCAGGGCAACTCCCGTGACGATCGCTTCTGGATAGGCTGTTGGGGATGTGCGAAGCGTAAAGAATAGCCAACGCAACTGTAAACTCGACGCGTGGACAAAATGCACCCTGGCCAAACGGCGATTGCCGCGGGTCGCATAATGGTATGCTGTCGCACGTGCCGAAACCCCACGATGCGATAGGCCCTATGAAGCATTGCCAGCATCGGAGCTACTCTCGCCGTCAGAGTCGCCCAAGCCGTCGTCGTCACCCCCATCACCATATTGTTTGTCGATGACGGCCGTCACCGCCGCGTCTCCAGAAACGTTGACAACGGTGCGCAACCGGTCCAGCAACCAATCCACTGCGTAGATATAACCGAACTTCTCCGTAACTGGTATGCCCACGCTTGTCATGATCGTTGCGAGCAGCACGAGCGAAGCGCTCGGAACTGGGGCAGTGCCCAAGGAGCACAGCATCGCCAGCACAGCCATCGTGGCGAACATGCCGAAATCGAACTCCACGCCCTCCAGGGTGCCGAGGAAGTAGCCAGCACAGATGAGGTACAGGCCAGTCCCGTCCATGTTGATGGTGGCGCCAAGGCTAAGCACGAACTTGGCGATGGACGGCGAAATTCCATTGTGATCGATGCAGCATCTCGTGTTCACTGGCAGTGCGGCAGCAGACGAGGAGGTCCCGAACGCGGTCAACAGTGCTGGGACTATGTTGGCCACGTAGGTGACTGGATTGCGTTTCGCGAAGGCAGCAATCAAGGTTGGATAGGTGACGCTGAAATGCAAGACTAGTCCAATGATGACCGAGAGCGTGAACATAGCGACGATCTTTCCTGTCTCTGCTAAGTTATGCTTGATTATCGCCGCAAACACCAGGCTACAGACTCCAATTGGCGTCAGGACCATCAAAAAGGTCACAACCTTCACCACCACGTCGTTTGCTTCGCCGACCAATACGAGGGTCGTCGACGGGGTCCCGTCGCCTTTCTTGTCGTTGACCAGCAGCCCGAAGATGATCGAAGCGACGATGACCGGCAGAAGGTTGTTGTCGGCGGCGTCCGCGACGAGGTTCTTTGGGACAAGACCGCCGAAGATGTTGAGGATGCTCTCCAGGGCCGTGAAGCGTTCCAGGTCGGGCGCCTCCGTACCATCCGCTTTAGAGGATAAGAGGCAGCATTAGACACGTTGCCTGGCCAGACATCCTCACAAAGACCTGCTGTCAAATCACACGGCGCACTGCGAGCGGGCAAACAGGGCGGCCCGCAGCTGTGGTAGGGTACGATGTTGCATGCGAGGCTGGCATGTGGATCTGCATGCGTTTTTTTCCCCAACGGCATGTATCTGTGCAACCGACTATAGATTGAAAAGAAAGGTCTGTCGCACACAAGGAAAGCAGAACACACCGTCAACCGGCAACACCTTTTGCCCGGCCCTGGGCGCTTCCCGACAGTGAGGACGGGGGCCCCAACGCTCACCTGCATCACTACCGATCAACACGCACACACACACAGACACACACACACACACACACGCACACCATCTACATGATTGTCACAATCAGTCTCTGAATGGTCACCAGTCACTGTTACCCACAGCCTGATGTACTATGCCGATGGTGGTCTGGTCTCAAGCCCAGAGGGTGGAGAAGAGAAGGGGTAGGGGAAGGCTGCAGAGAATGAGGAGGATGGGGCAGGAGAATGGGAAGCAACCTCAGGTGCAACAGAATCAAGAGATATGCAGAAAGAAACAGAAGACGGATTGTTCCTACTGTCAGTGCCCATGTTGCTTGCAGCTGCTTCCTGATACCCCTTGTCACCTCCACCGCAACGAAAGGTGCCCCATCACGCGATTGCTATACAGACCGACGTCGATATATACAGACGTGTGTATAGGCATCTCGATGTGTAAATATCGATCTGCGTGTCACAAAGACGCCAAGGCGCAGAATCCGAACAATAGCTCCTGGCACCCCACATGCGTTCTGTTGCATCCTCGGGGGACCTTGATTGTCCCGTAGCGGCCGCATCCGTGTCAAATCCGTGTCGAATCCATGTCGGACTCATCGGATCCGAGTCGGATCCGTGTCGAATCCGCGTCGGATCTACGCCAAATCCGCGTCGAGTCCGCATCGAGCCCGCGTCGGGCACAAGAAAAGACACCAATTTGGGGGACAGGCGAGGTCCTCCGAGGATGCAAGGTAAGGTGTGCTGTGCACCCAGGGGCACTGCTGGGCACCAGCCGTGGGGAGCCAGCCATGCGGTGCAGCCAAATGCCACCACGGGGCGCCAGCCAGAGGACACCAGTCGTAGGGCACCCAGCGCAGGGCACCCAGCCTCAGGTCAGGCAGGTCCTCCTACAGGCGGAGGAGCTTGGAAGAAAAAGAAAGTATACATAACAAGTAACCGAAAATAGTCTCACACCCACACACACACAAAAGAAACGACAAATCGCAACCAGACTATTGTTTTACCATTCTCGAATATTCCTCCTGTAGAGGGACGCGCCCGACTTAACACCAGCCCGAGGGCGCCGCGGGGCACCAGCCTGACCAGCCGTGGGGCGCCATAAGGCGCCGACCGCGGAGGATCCACCGCAGTCAGCGGCGAGCGAGGAGGGGAAATGACAAGGAGAAGGCCTTCTCAGAAGGCTGCGGGACTTCTCAGAAGCCCTGAGGCCTGCTGAGAGGTGTTTTCTGCGCCTTCGGGGAAGGCTTATAGAATTCTCAGAAGGCCGGGGGACTGCCGAACCTTCTGAGGAGGCCCGCCCCTTCCCGGACGCCTGGCGGCTTTGGAGTCATAACTCGGCTCTCCAGCGTCCGTTTGAGACTATCTGAGACCCCCAGAACGCCCTCGGCGAAGCGAAGCCGCTGGAACGCATCCCGAGGCTGGGAAACCGCCGTGGACCAACGAAAACGCCCAAAAACCTTCATTAGAAGAAGAAACAGAAGAAGAATAACAACAACAACAACAACAACAACAACAACAACAACAACAACAACAACAACAACAAGAACAACAACAACAATAACAACAACAACAACAACAACAACAAGCAGCAACAACAACAACAACAACAACAACAACAACAACAACAACAACAACAATTACTAGCACGTGGGGACACTCCGTTCTCACCAGTGCCAGGGTTTTCATAGGAGGCGGGCAATACCCCCACTTTGTGGGGGGGCCGGTTCAAGCTCTACCAAATTTCCAAACGACTCTTCGCCACCACCCACACCCAGCTTCCCGCCCTATGACGTTCGGACACTTCACTTCGTGGCATGCGGACGACCGTGGCTACTATTCAGGGCCCCGCGGCCGACGACGACGGCGTGCGCGCGCGAAGAAAAAACGAATGTGTCCCGCATGGTATTATTTGACAGGGATGATGGCCCTGGCAGGTGCGCAACCGTTGTTGCAGAAGTTCGAAAAAGTTGCTCGCAAAAGCCCGTTTGACAGAAATGTTTAAAAAGTGTTGGGTTTCCTACGAATCCGCAAGAGCGCGCGGGATGAAATTTTGACATTTTTTTTGAAAAACCATTGGTTTTTTGATGTTTTTATGTTAAAATCGCTACGAAAACTAAGGTTTTGGAAGGATTTCGTCTTGCGCGCGCGAATGTCCACTTTACCTTATTTTTTGCAAGGGATTCTTGAAGTTTGGATATGTTAGAACAAGAAATGTCCACTTTAGCTTATTTTTTGCAAGGGAAAGCGGGCGTCAACAAAACAACCGGATCTGGACACAATCGTTTTGCCTGAGACTTCCTCACGAAAATGATGAAAATGTGGCTGCGGCCTAGGCGCGGCGGGGGGGTCGCGCACCAGGGGTCCCAACAATAATTATTCTTAAGAAGAAATAATGTTCAACAACATCAACAACAACAACAACAACAACAACAACAACAACAACAACGACGATGACGACGACGACGACGACGACGACAACAGCAACAACAACAACAACAACAACAGCAACAACAACAACAACAGCAGCAACAAACGCCGTAAACATAAACGCTTAGCGCTCCGCGCGTATTTCTTGGGTCTGCGCTGGACCCCCCTCCCGCGCCAGGGGCGGCACTGGAGGCGCCGCCAGGGGGGGGGGCAGCGCGAATCCAAGAAATCCGCCCGGAGCGCCAAAAGTTTATGTTTGTTTTATGGCGTTGTTTCTTCTTCGATTCAGGCTGCTCTGGAGGTCGAAAAAGGGTGTGGCACAAAGGGGTGTGGTGCCAATCGCGGAACTGGCCATCGTTCGGACGTCCATTCCCAACCATCCTGTGGTGTTGGGTCCGAGTTTTGAAGAGACGGTCCCCGCGTTCTCCCCTCTTCCTTTGCCCCTTCCCCCTCTCCACCGTCCGCATGCGCCCCGCACACCCAGTACAGCGTTTCGTGGCCCTCCTCCCTTCCCCACCCAATGCAGCGCTTCGTGGCCCCATGGGGAGCCCCACCGAAGGTCCCAGTACTACCGTCCGCACGCGTCCCGCACACCCAGTACAACGTTTCGTGGCCCCATAGGGAGCTCCACCGAAAGTCCCAATGCTACCGTCCGCGTGCGTCCCGCACACCCAGTGCAGCGTTTCGTGGCCCTCCTCCCCCTCCTCCCTGCGTTTCACCCACCCAGTACAGCGTTCCGTGGCCCCATAGGGAACCCCACCGAAGGTACCAGTGCTACCGTCCGCATGCGTCCCGCACACCCATTACAGCGTTTCGTTGCCCCATAGGGAGCTCCACCGAAGGTCCCAGTGCTACCGTCCGCATGCGTCCCGCACACCCCGTACAGCGTTTCGTGGCTCTCCTTCCCCTCCTCTCGGCGTTTCACCCACCCACCCAATACAGCGCTTCGTGGCCCCGTACTTACGCAGGACGAAAGATTTTCCTCTTGAGGTGAAAATGGCCATGAGGAGTTCGCGAGACAACGTCGGCGCCGCCGAACGGACGGTGACTGGACGAGCTGTTTGCAGCAACCAGGGGGGGAGGGATGTATGTATTCATGTTGAATGGGGCCCGCTCGCGCGGGGAGTTGATGGTAGTGCGCGAGACGACGCAGGGCCCATCGTGGAAATTTGATTACCGAACCCCCCTTTCCCCATAGAATCTTAGCACGGGCGGTTTGCGGGGTCCGCGGATCCGATTCCTCCGGCTTCCTGGTTTAATTTAATAATATACATTTAAAACAAGGTGGAAATCGGATCCGCAATAAAAAATGAGACCGGACACGGATCCAACTAATCCGAAGTCGGATCCGTACGGACGGAAATCGGATCCACCGAAACAAACACCAAAACCACATTTGGATCCGCGCGAGCTTCATGAGATCCGACGGCGGTTATCTCAGACGGGTCTGCTGAAGACTTCACACCGTCGTTCCGGGCCCAAGAGGAAAAAAACTCTCGTCCTGGGGATGAGCGTTTTGGCAGTCGGACTCGTTGGTTACCACGTAGCCGACACACCACATCTCACAGGCAGTCCGTTGTTGGTTACCACACAGCCGGCACCACATCTCACAGGCAGTCCGTTGGGTGAGGAGACGCAGGGCCGAAACGCAGTTTTGGCCTTCGGACTCGTTGGTTACCACGTATCCGACACACCACATCTCACAGGCAGTCCGTTGTTGGTTACCACACAGCCGACACCACATCTCACAGGCAGTCCGTTGTTGGTTACCACACAGCCGACACCACATCTCACAGGCAGTCCGTTGGGTGAGAGGTCGCAGGGCCGAAACGCACTTACGCAGGACGAACGATTTTCCTCTTGAGGTGAAAATGGCAATGAGGAGTTCGCGAGACAACGTCGGCGCCGCCGAACGGACGGTGACTGGACGAGTTGTTTGCAGCAACCAGGGGGGGAGGGATGTATGTATTCATGTTGAATGGGGCCCGCTCGCGCGGGGAGTTGATGGCAGTGCGCGAGACGACGCAGGGCCCATCGTGGAAATTTGATTACCGAACCCCCCTTTCCCCATAAAATCTTAGCACGGGCGGTTTGCGGGGTCCGCGGATCCGATTCCTCCGGTCTCCTGCTTTAATTTAATAATATACATTTAAAACAAGGTGGAAATCGGATCCGCAGTAAAAAATGAGACCCGACACAGATCCAACTAATCCGAAATCGGATCCGTACGGACGGAAATCGGATCCACCGAAACAAACACCAAAACCACATTTGGATCCGCGCGAGCTTCATGAGATCCGACGGCGGTTATCTCAGACGGGTCTGCTGAAGACTTCACACCGTCGTTCCGGGCCCAAGAGGAAAAACTCTCGTCCTGGGGATGTATGGAGCCCCACCGAAGGTACCAGTGCTACCGTCCGCATGCGTCCCGCACACAAAGTACAAAGCTTCGTGGCCCCATAGTGAGCTCCACCGAAGGTCCCAATGCTACCGTCCGCATGCGTCCCGCACACCCCGTACAGCGTTTCGTGGCCCTCCT